AAGCTGCTACAGAAAAGCATACATTCCGTGCAAAAGTTGACTTTTATGCAAGCCCCGTGCATTTTACTACCCAAGAATGGGTATAAAAACATGTGCGTTAACGGGATTCCAGATGCATTGTTTAGCATCGGGCTGACAACGACTCAGAAAAACAACAAAAGTACGTAATTATACAACATTACAAAATGCCACGCCTGTCCGAAAATGAGCGTCTGCGAGCTATTGGTTTGCTTGAAGCAGGATCGAGTGATGTTGCAAGACAAGTAAACGTCCACAGAAACACCATCTGGTGTTTATGGCAACGTTGGCAACAGACGAATGCAGTCAGAGACCATCCTCGCAGTGGCAGGCCACCCGTAACCAATAATCGACAAGACAAGTGGATTTGAACAACAAACCTACGAAATCGATTCCAGCCAGCAACAGTGACAGCAAGAAGCATCCCTGGCCTTCGACGAATATCTCCATAAAACCGAACGTCGCCGCCTCAGATGTGCAGGGATTGTCACCAGAAGACCCGCCAGACGTCCCATTTTGACAAGAAACCATCTTCAAGCACGTCTTCACTGGTGCAGACAGCGTCCTACGCTGGACGGTCATGCACTGGGGACAAGTTCTATTCACTGACGAGTCTCGTTTTCACCTCAGCCACACCGATGGACGGATGCGAGTGTACCGACGTCGAGGTGAACGCTACGTTAATCATTGTGTCATGGAATCAGGTCGGTTCGGGGGCGGCAGCGTTATTGTATGGGGTGGGATTACAGCAAGACAGAGGACCCGTTTGATAGTGGAAGAGGGAAATCTCAATGGACAGCGCTACTGCGACGAGATCATCGGCCCTGTTATTTTAACCGTTTTTGCGTCGTCATGGCCCAGGCATTATCTTTCAACATGACAACGCCCGGCCTCATATTGCTCGACTTGTTCAGGATTCTCTTCAACAAAACAACGTGAATGTCATCCCCTGCCCTTCTCGATGGATGCCACGTGTTCCAAAGACACTCCAGAAACTTCGAAACTTGCTCCAGCAGATATGAACAGATATCGCACAGGACTTTGTGCGACGCCTGGCTCATTCCATGAGACGAAGATGTGTTGCTTGCATCGCAACCAGAGGTGGACACACACGCTTTTGATTTGTAAATCGACATTTTGGCATGTTCATGTTTATTTATGAAATCAAGCATTTTCTGAAGTAAGTATGGCCAAATAAACCATTTGAACACTTACAGGAGTCGTTTATCTGTTTCAAACCGAAATTGTTTCAGAATTGGTTAAAAAACATAACTTTGCATTAAATCTTATTCAATGCCACAGGAACTTTTGTTGTTCAGTATATATTGCGCCATGAAAACTGTGTTAGTATGATAAATGTTTAACATCAAACTGCTTTTAGTATGTGGTCCTTATGTTGATAAATTTAATAAGGGATCGCATAAGCACAAAAAAGATTCAACGAGATTCGAACCTCTGACATCCACATCACATCGGTCACCGGTAAAGCCGTCCAGACATTCTCCTGGACAGTGCCCATCGCCAACATTACACGTGACGCCACAGTAGCCGCAACGAGAACAGTCAGGCCCGAAGGTTCCAGGTTTACATTCTGAAGGTTAGCAATTCAGGTCTTAAGTAATGAAGTGATATCATTCACATGGGAACAAAAGCACGATCCAGTTACAACAAGGTGACTATTTGATAGAGAATGTTTTGTAATCCTATCAACAAAAACCTGAACACCCTTTCCCAAAGTGTTGTGCATTCATTATCCTGCACTTGCACTGCCACAGCTTTTAACCTTGTTATATAACTATTACCAAACCCTCAATTAGTGCCAATATGCTGCTAATATCCTCTGGTACAGGTTCACATCATGTAATGACCCAAAACGAGAATAATACGCTTTAGGACGATTCTTCCCGCTCGTACAAGTTGGACACAGAACAGGCGGAATTTAATTAAATTTTAACTCAGTCAGTATTTAGCCATCTTTCCTTCCTTTTATGCAGGAACCAGAGGAGGATGTTTTACAGCGACGGGAATGTAGAACTGAACCTACTGAACAATGAACATTTATTTCTCCTCTCTCCACCAGGGAGTTGCATCGGACATCACTTTCGTCACCTGTGCATCAAATTTGGAAATGTCTTCCACGTGGCTACCAACTGCAAGCTCCACTTAGGACTTAAATGGTGCAGCGTTGATATAAAAACGTCTGAACAAGAGTCCGTCGTAAGACACGCTTGGGGGTCTTGGTAGAAAGAGCATATCGGATTGCAGCTCCGAAGTTAAAATGTCAAAATGTAAACACTAAAAGCCGGAGCTGCAGGGATATCACTCGATACAAAAGGAAAGTTATCCAATTCTCGTGACACTAACTGACAATGACACTGATGAATCGAAGTGCCTTCTTATAAAATCAAAACAAATAAGGCCTATTTGACAAAAGAAACAACGTCTTTTTTTTACCTTTAAAAACACCTTCTGTGTTTTGAGTATTAAATATATGTTTTCAGAAGTACAATCAAGACAAATTGTGTGGTAGTCACGTTCAAGCTTATACAAGCATCACTAAGTATACACCCAATGACATATAGTGTCCTTTCGTGTGTAGCCATTGTGTGCCCAAATTGTTTTGCAATTGGACTCCTTTCTTCCTTGCTCACTGACATGACATCATTCGATCCAAAAACAGCATGTGTCCCTAGTCTGATTCACACTAACTGACAACTCCACCACACCTAAACTCATCCCTAGTGACCAAACATCATTCCATGTACAATTATACGTTTGGCATACAGTCATTATCACGATATTATTACTTTTACAGTATCACAACCACTGGAAAATGTACCTATTGATTTATACAAAGAATCCTCACCTTAAAAAAAATGAAACATAGGCATATATTTTAAAGGTATTCCATCATATATTCGCACTTTTGTACACGCTGATGATACTTCACAGATTTAAAACTGTTCACCAGATAATCCAGATTTACATGAATTACCTGATCCGGCGAGAACACCACAAAGCACGTTTCCTGCACACCGAAAGGTTCTATCATATGTTCCGTTGCAACATTTACATAACATCGGACCTCACACGGAGCTGAATAGAGTAGGGGCTATGAGGCTTCGGCGATGATGGCGAGAGAGTTCCGTAAGGTAACCGGGAAACAGCAAATCAGAAGGTTAACATGTTACCATTGCTACCGTGTTGTTAAACTCCATGGCCAGAGGGGCACACATGAAGGTGTTGAACGAAAATAAACAATAAGTGTTTCACCTGTTGTACAGTCAGTGTCTTTCCATCCGGGATTGCAGCCGTTTTCACACTTCCCGGTTACGTGATCACATGTTGATGTCTCACTGCAGTGTCTGGCAGAGCAGAGGAAAGCACAGCCGTCTCCGTAGGTATGAAAGCATTCTAACGCAAGTTTATGAATACATTAGTACCAGGCATCACATATGAAGGAACAGTTGATAATAGAAGACATGTGTACCCCTACTAGTGCATTGAGAACGTCTAACAACCCCTCTGGTTAGATGTATGAGTTTGTGGTTGAGATACCTAGTCTTTTTTCAAACAAGCTTGACCAGGTATCGACTTGTTGTAAAAACATTATGGTCTTACTCTGTGTACAGTCTGTTCCATTCCATCCTGCAATACAACCCCCAACACATTCCCCTGTCACGTGGTCACAGCTAGAGTTGTCGTCCTCGCAGTTCCTATTGTAGCATTTCTGATTACAGTTTGGTCCATACTTGCCAAGGGTACATTCTGGAACATGAAGTTCAGCATAGTTAAGCGAATGAACTATATGATTAATTACCATACCCTTGTTGCTTTTATTGTTATTTGGAGGTGTCCAAAGCACAGATTACATTTTGAAGTAGAAACATAGGTTCCTTGGGGATAATTTAACTATAGACATACACAAACACGCTCACACACGCTCACACACACACACACACACACACACACACACACACACACACACACTTAATCACTTTATTAAGAAATGTTACATAATTTAGGTCCGTTAGTAACATGAAACATGGCAAGCCACTTAGTCAGTGGTTTCATTCAAAACGTATAGAATGTTTGACAATAGCGGTTTCTGTATCTTACTCTATGCGCACTGCTTACACACAATGTCATTTCCTTGACTGGAAAAGTGAATACCAAAACCTTTTGTATGTTAAGCACACGTTCGGCAGTGTATTGAAGCTGACTGATTGATATTGGATTTAAGAATGTTTAAACGCAACATCAATGCCTGGACAGGTGGTATGACAAGATCTAACGCCCTTGCATATACATCAAGTATATCTATATGAATGTATTAGTATTTTGAAGTATAAACTAAGTCAGACTGTTTAAACACTATGGTTTGAGGGTCACACAACGACTTGGTGTACCCGAACCAAAATGTCTCACTGCAGTGTCTGGCAGAGCACGGGTAAGCACAGTCGTCTCCATCGGTAAGTAAGCATTCTAGAACGTATTTATGGATACATTTGTACCATGTATCAAATACGTAGGAACTATGACTTATTTAAATAAATTCATACCCTTATTAGTGTCATGCTTGAACCTATGGTTAGGCGCATCAAATTGTGTTTGAGGTACCTGGAGGCATTTCCAGCAGGTAAGCCCAGGTATCATTTGTTGTAAGTGCATTATATTCTTACTCTGTGTACAGTCTGTTCCTTTCCACCCTGTCAAACAACCCCCAACACACTCCCCTGTCACGTGGTCACAGCTAGAGTTGTCGGTCTTGCAGTTCCTATCAGAGCATTTCTTATTACAGTTTGGTCCATAATCGGCGGGGATACACTCTGAAAACATGAAGGTTTTTAATATAGCTACAAATGAGCTGTAGGCCCTCGATTGTTTTTATTGTTAGTTTGGGGTATTAATTATACAGACTAATATAACATCCTGAAGGTTGATTCTTGATGAAATATATCACCACAATATCAAATAGGAACCTGTGTCACACTTGTCTTGCTGCCAGCCTGGGAGACAGTCTCCACTCGGACAGACGCCGCTCACGTAGTCGCACACCTCACCGTCACAGTGGCAGTAGTTGGCACAGTCAGAGCCGAAAGCACCAGGACCGCAAACTATTAATGAGGGAACAGGGAGGTTATATGCATTTTACCTACCATGAAAACATTCACGTTAAACATGTACTCGTATCTACACGGATTAAAGTATACAACACAAATGTGTAAATTGAAAATTGTGTAATGATGGTTTGTAATTAGTTCCTTTCTAATCTTCTTTGCTTCCATTACTCGCTATTCTGTATAATAGAATGTAAAACTACTTAATGAACTTCATGTACACGCTTATGTGAACACATTTCAGAAACATATTATTAAAATTAGTAAAACCAGTATCCATAAAGTTACAGTAGTGTGTAGCAAGAACTGTGCTAAACGTACATTACTATTCAAATACTGTATAAAACTACTCACAAAGTTATTCTGAAGGAAAGGTATACTGTCGTCTGTAAATATGCGTTTGTTGCCATTCTTTTCCCTGGTTGTTATTACTCGTCAAATTGATAACGAAATAAAGTGAATTATAATTATTTGAGTTTAAGGCCTCTTTCAACTAAATTTATGTAGGGGAAATCCTAAGACTACGATGGTAATATACGTTTCTTTGGCTGGTTTAGGGCAAATATGTTGGGTGAAATGCGGCAGTTTAGACTACTTGTCGACCGATGCCCGTGTGTATAAAGTGGAATTTAGGAATAACAACAGTATCTAGTGTGTCATTTGTTTTGGTGACGCTTCCCTGTTTTTTATGAAAATGTAGTGACACTGTTGCAACTGCAGCTGTGCATACTCATTACTGCGGTGAGGTGTTCCTGGACAAATACATACAGAAAACTGTTTTGCATATGAATATACATATATGGAGATTCAAAGCATTTGTTAAACTACCACCTTACAAATTCATTAACTGACCATTTCTGATTACAAAAGCCAATTTAACGGTCGCATTATTTAGGAAACTAACCTGTTTACTATTTTCTGAATGATTGTCTGGAGACATTTTGAAATAATAATATGCATACGTGAAGGTTACAATAAGCCTTCTTGCTGTAGCTACAATATTCAAAGTATTGCAATACATTTTCACGAAGCACGATAAAAATTGACCAGGAGAATGTAATTCAACTGTTAAGGACAACATGGCGATTGAAATGTGGCGTGTGAAATTTGGATAAAATGCCAAAGTGTTGCGCACTGTGACTTCATAACAAAAATACCTGAGCCTTGCAAAACTTGTTTCATTAGATTTTTCTTTTGGGGTGACCATTGTTTGCCTAAACCCATATACAGAAACCTAGAATACACGTTGCTTGCCTCTCATATGTGCAAGTAAATAGTATTAACGTAAAAACAGTGCTTGAGAATGTACAGCGACATACAATGTACTTTGTTCAAATTCAACCCTTGCCACCTCATCCATTATATTCCTTATATTTACCATGCGCTCGGTTCCACAAATTCGATTTAACAGCGTTAGATTACGTGTAACATCCTTGCTATCAAAACACGGGACATGTTTACCACCTCAATATCTACATGATAAATATAATTCCTACAGTTACCCGAACTTCACAGAAGTCCAGGAATGGTATTGTTAACATGGATACTTTCGTTGATTACAGTAATGGTGTACAGGACCAGGTCGGTCCCTTCCCCGGAACACGTTTAAAACAGCTGAAAATAAAGATCATATTGATATTTAAATAAACATATGAAAAATCAAAACTAGGAGATGGATGAGTTATATATGATATCAAAAATGATTCCTACCGTCAACCTGCACTTCACAGAAATCCATACTAGGTACTGTGTCACCTCTGTTTTTTACAGTTGTGTACAGCACTAGATAGCGCCCTTTACCAGAACACGTGACGTTCAAAACATCAGGTATGTCTGTCCCGTCCTCCTTCCCTGTCACGTTGTAGCAATTGTCTCCGGCAGGTGGGGAGGCGTCAGTTTCAGCTATGTAGATCTGGATACCATTCCGACGAACTTTATCTGTTAAATGACAAAATTAACACAAATGTCGTAAAAAGTAAATGTATATCCATGAAAACAGGATCACTCATATATGTTTTATACCTTAAACATGTATATTAAAGCAACATCTTTGACCCGTGAAGAAGCTGGCCGTAAAAGGCGACTATGCTTGTCGTAAGAAGCGACGAACGGGATCGGGTGGTCAGGCTCGGTGACTATGGTTAATACACGTCATCATATCACAATGGATCGATGCTCATAATGTCAATCACTGGATTGCCTGGTCCAGACTCGATTATTTACAGACCGCCGTCATATAGCTGGAATATTGCTAAGTGCGGCGATAAACAGCAAACAAACAAACAACCAGACAACATCCTAAAATATGCCTATCGGACATAAGGCTGAGGATGGGGTTGGATTGGGGTTCTGAAAGTTGGGGATGCGGCATTCCGCTTGTTTGTAAACATAATGGTCAGTCGATTGCGTTTTTACTTCACGCATTGCTGTAGTCCACCTGACACACTCGACAGATATGAATGCGCTATCGGTAGGAGTGAGTGAGTGAGTTAATGCTTTACGTCACATCGGCAACTGCACAGTGGTGGTTATTGGCTTTATCATCCTGACAAGGTAATATGCTAAACTTAACAAATATTGAACCTTGAGCAACATATGGTCCTTTGTGAAGCTTCACTATAAACAGTAAAAACAACAAACGCAATATTTGTGTGGAATAGAATATGGGCGCAGTTTATTACAACATTTGTGACGAAACCCTGGGGGGAGAGGTTTAAGACTAATAATAAAATAATAACTGAGCGCCGATATATCAGACGTGAGCAGCTCAGAGCATAAACAGGAGGGGCTTGTCTCACTGGGGTCACCACAGATGAGTAGCCCCCCTGAGCTAGAGTCGACAAGCCGCCGACTCCAATCTGGTAAATATGCACAACCCGGCCAGCCGCCGGTAACCACCACTTCTGGCCAGACGCCAGTAACAGACCCCTCCGGCCGGCCGCCGGTAAAGCCACACCAAGCCAGCCGCTGGCTACCACCAACCTACCTTATTGGAGAATGTTATCTGTGAGGGACATCACATCAACAAATCCATTCTCCAATTCAGATCATAACAATAGTCCTTTAGGCCTGCTAGGGTATCGCACAGACAGGTGTGAAAGCACTATACTTATGATTGCTAACCTAACAATTACCTGAATCATATTCATGTCCCCCAGGGTCCCGCCACTACAAATTGCACCGCACCGAAAGCTGCGAAGACAAGATTAACTGAATAGTTTACCTGAAGACTAACCTCCCTCCAGGTAGCAAGGAGGATTTAGAACTGCTACTATTGTCCATCTCAATTAATTACCGTACTTGGTTTAACCAAGTTGTGCAAGACTGATCCGGAGATGGTCATTCAGCAGACAGTTCTGAAACACAATGTTAAACAGCAGCAGCAAGCATAAATTTCACATATGCATGTACACATTGAAAAGTACAACTGAAACACAATATGCAACAATCAGGGAGGGTGGGTGGGAGCAAAAATTGTTGTTGCTGTCTATAGCGCAACGTGAGCGGAAAGGATTAACACGTGACAACTCCAACTGAATCAGACAGATCTAGAGTAACCTCCCTTTCCCTATAAAATGAAACCGGCAGTTGATAATTGAATTTTATTATTATACTGAAGATGTAATAAAATTATTTATCATCCTGACAAGGTAATATGCTAAACTTAACAAATATTGAACCTTGAGCAACATATGGTCCTTTGTGAAGCTTCACTATAAACAGTAAAAACAACAAACGCAATATTTGTGTGGAATAGAATATGGGCGCAGTTTATTACAACATGGTGTAACCTTGGAGTCTCCATTCCCTGGGCCATAATCCAGCTGCCCACCTGCCTTTGAAGTACAAACCAAATCCACAATGCTCTCCACCCGCACTATCTGTAAATAACTGTAGAGTGTCACTTGACATCCAGTATTGGTCTGGGAACACTGTAATACCATTGTGACAGCTTAAAATTTCCAGCCATGTATTAATGTCTTCCTTCATCCCTCTTGTCAGCCTGATATGATGATATGCTCTCTTTATATTTCTTGTTGAATCTATAAATCGTCTTGAAAATGGGCGTCCCATGGGGATTGCTCGGCAGATAAAGTTTAACAAACCTATAAGTGACTGCATTTCCCTCAATTTCACTTTATTACGATCTGCCAACCCGTGAAGTAAGTTTTTACATTGATTGATTTTGTCTGTCGGTATTCTCAACTCCATTGTTACTGTATCAATTTCAATTCCAAGGAATGTCAAACAAGTACATGGAAGTACTGTCTTCTCACTAGCAATAGGAACTCCCAACTTCTGACATAGCAACAAAAAGGTGTCAAGTGCGTCTTGGCAATGATTAGGGTTAGGTGAGCTACCAAAAAGAAAGTCATCCAAATAGTGAAGTAATGCCCCTTGTTTCAACCTGCATTGAGTAGCCCAGTGTATAAAACTTGCTACTTTGCACCCCTTTGGGAGGCACATATCTACATAATAGTTATCCTGAAAATATATACCTAGGAGATCAAAATCTTGCTTATTGATTGGACATAATCGAAATGCACTTTTAATGTCTGCTTTTGCTAACATTGCCCCTTTGCCAAATTGGTGGACTAAGTCCACTGCTTCGTCAAAACTTGTGTCAGAAACTGAGGCATACTCATCATCAATATAATCATTGACTGATGTACCCTCTGGGTATGACAAATGGTGAATTAACCGATATTCTCCTGGTTCTTTCTTTGGGACAAGCCCAATTGGCGACACCCTTAATTTTGGAAGTGGTGGGAAACTAAATGGTCCTGCCATCCTACCTGATGTAATTTCTTTCTGTAATTTCTGCCTGACTACTTCTGGTAGTTCTGTACATGATTTCAAGTTATGGGAATAACATGATTCCCTTGGACCTGTATAATTCAAACTAAAACAAAAACAAAAAAAAACCTATAGGTATTCAGCCGTATCTCTGTCGGGGTAATTTTTTAACAAAGCTGATAAATGTTCCAGATTGACAGGTGATTTACCTTTATCAGGCAAAACTAGGTTGCTTTCCCATTTGGGGAGTTTACATGTGCCAACTTTGACATATTCTTACAAAGGCGGGAAGGGTGAGGCTTACTGCAACTGGTACACACATGTGCATATCTGCACACACTGCGGCTACATTTCGTCAGATTGAAGTCATAGCATGGAAGCCGGCGTTTTGCCCGCATGTTTGGCTTAACATCTTGGCCTTGGCCTTGACCTTGCCCGTAGTATGGATTCATTGGATTGATACTAACACTTGATGATGGGGTTGCAAACATAAGCCAGAGTTCATTATTGATGACAGACCATGGTTCGTGAGGATTGTGAGCATGGCGAAGTCGAAACTGCTGGTCATAAATGCTGACAAATATCAAGAATGCATCTGTCCATTCCTCGATTGTGTTGATTCTGGGATAATTGCGCCTTATAACCTCAATACCCCCTTGTGCATTGAGGCCCATGATTCCTACTGGTTTGTTGTCATAGGTCGCCTGTCTTAGCCCTTTAGTTAAGATCCCTAAATCCACATACTCATTTTTCCAAATTTTCTCCTTGATATTTTGAGGTATATTGGAACCTAAGTTATCTTGGGATAGAACGGTAGGCTGAGGAGCAATAAACTTTGAGAAATCATGCACGCCAAGCCCCTGTGACTGACTAATGCCGGTTGCCATAGCAAGCGTACCGCTGTCGCTGCTATCAAGCTCAATAGGCCTATCGCCTACTGGTTGGAATCTAACTGTAGCTGTACTACTATCAGTATTACTAGACCTACCACTTGTAATATTTATGCTGCCGTCAGACCTGCTACACGAATCAACAACTAAGGGGGATAACTCACCTGTAGTTGAGACGAAACTGGCGGGCGCAATCCTTGTCTGCTTGGCCGACGTCGCTACCTCGCTGTCCGCTCGCTGAACAACTTTCCTCTTCCTTCCAGCCCCTCTAGACTTAACAAACGCCCTGCCTGTCGACCCTACGGATCTTGAAACATCCTTTTTGCGTGGCATAGCGAGCTGGAAGGCGGTTACTCTTGAGAGAATACGTCTTGTGCAGAGCGAGCAAAAATTGTTGTTGCTGTCTATAGCGCAACGTGAGCGGAAAGGATTAACACGTGACAACTGCACGTGAATCAGACAGATCTAGAGTAACCTCCCTTTCCCTATAAAATGAAACCGGCAGTTGATAATCGAACTTTATTATTATACTGAAGATGTAATAAAATTATTTATGTGACGTCATGGGGAGAAATAAACTAGTCTTTACTGTAGGATGTAAACGACTCACTGTCTGTCTTGAACTATATGGTGACGTCACGGGGAGAAATAAACAAGACTTTACTGTAGGATGTAAACGACTCACTGTCTGTCCTGAACTATATGGTGACGTCATGGGGAGAAATAAACAAGACTTTACAGAAGGATGTAGCCAACTCACAGTCTGTCCTGAAGTATATGGTGACGTCATGATTTTGTGTCATCTCACTCAGATCCACTCTCCACCACGCAACTGTTATACTAGCGTCGTTGAAGGCTGAATGAAAGCAGTTGTGATAGTCGTTCGGTTTGGTAACTCCGTCCACAGCCCTACTTGGTGACTGACTGAGATGGATGCTACTGACGTTTGTTGGTTTACCGAGTGCTTTGTTGTCTGTCATAACATATAATGTTAGAGTGAAGAACAACCGTGTGCAACTTAGTTTCAACTGAAAATGTATCAAATGTAATGTTCGGAAATAGAGGATCACACCTTCAGATGACAGTCTAAGGTGCTTTGACACATGTTATATACTGATCTACACTTTGCTTGTTTTGAGGAAATTGTGCACAGATAGCGTAGGTGTGTTAGGCGCTGTAACTACAATTCCCTGTGTAGAAGGATGCCCCCGAGGCCTGCAAGTAATCGGGGATCGGGGATTTGACTCCCAGATTCTCCTTGACGATTTATGGCTCAACAGAACCATACCCGTGTACGAAAGCATCACTTCGGGCATTCTCCCCACAGGAAACTGATACACCGTTATATAACGGACGTAGTGTTGAAAGTGGTGTTACAGCCTTTAAGTAACTTTCTTCATGTGAGACCTTGCACTGACGTTTATCTGATATGAAAGGTGTACTTGTTTCCGCAAAAGCCTCAAGGCGAGATAGCTTGAAGCAAAAAGGCAAGGATTTTGATATGATCAGAAGGCCATTCAGGAATTGCAAAAAGTCTTCTCATAGGAGAGAATTAATCGTGATGACGATATGAACATACGAGAAAAATAAACGATTCTTTTTGTTGTTATCGAGTACATTTATATGTAAGACTTTTGAAAATATGCTGATCAAAATTAGCGTTACAACTCTGATGGTCTTACGATGATTAAGAGTTAAACGTTCACTGAAATACAAAATGTAATGCTTCACGTTTCTGGCAGGTCGGTCCTGACCACCCTCTGTTGCTGGTTTGGGGTCCGCATCCATCTCTAAAATCACAATCGGCGGCCAGGCAGTTGCAGTGGTAACCACACTGGAAGCCGTATGTTCCACCAGGGCAACTACCTGTAATATATATCCATTATATCATAGATAGACGGTGTCACTCGTAGCAGTATGTACCATAAGGACAATTGTAACAGCTGTAGTATATGATAGATGGACATTTACACTGGCAGCCGTGTGTATCAATAGAACAGTCTAGCGCTAAGTTAGCCGCTAAGCGTGACAAGGATGCACCAAATAGTCAAGCTAGCAAAATGATTTACAAGTCGTGTAAAACGATTAACATCTGTAATATTGCGGATTCAACCATGACACTTTCAGCGATAGCTATTCTTGTGATAGACGAGGTTAGGTGTTCTTTATCAAATATGTACACTTCAACACTGCCGACAATATACAAAGTGAACATTGAACCTGTCGCACTTATCACAATCGCTTTCTGACAGTTGATTATTTACGTTTCCTCTCTATTGACACACAGGAAATGCATAAAACAGATGACACAGGCATCGCCCACAATGTCGGCAAGCCACACACACCCTATTGAACAACATCTACACATCAGAACAAAATCCCCGTCACCACATATTGCTGCTGCAGAGTTCAGTCTCACAGTTCAATTCATTCAATTCAATTCTTTATTGTATGAAAGGCCACAGGCCCATATACAACGGAGTTACATAACATATTTTATAAAATACAAAGTCAAGGTAACAATTCACTTCGTAACAAAAAAGCATTATGTATGTACAAAGCCAGTTGATGTTGTGTTATAAGATCCTTGCAAGACAGTAATGAAGACAATCTTTTAGCATTAAAATGAGATAGAGACCACTGCGGTAAGTACTTGTCTCTTAGATTTTCGTATATAGGGCAAATAAACATGAAATGGTATTCATCTTCGACAACAATGTCACAAAATGGGCATAATCGTATCGATTTCTCAATAGATGAAAATCTCCCTGTGTTAATTTTTAGATCAGTCAGGCCAAGTCTAAAACGAATAAGGGTGTTACGAGAATTCCTGTACCGTAAATTTGATAAATAGGATTCTGGTTCAAGCAATGACTGGAATTGGCGATAAGTATCATATCTTGAACTTTCATAAATATCTGAATGCCATTTCTGGTGAAACATGTCAATGGCACGCATGCGAAAGTACTTAATGAAAGCATTTGCATTACCAATTGTCTGGGACAGCCAAATGAAACCAAAGCCATATGTAAAAAGCAATGTACGAATACAAGAAGCCCACGTGTTCTTTCCAAGATTGTCGAGGTGTACGAGCATGTTGTAGGCTTTCTTGGGTAAACGGTGTTCAGGCATTATTATTATTTTACACCAATACTTCAAACAACGAGTGTAAGATCCAATGTACAATGGGAATCTACCGCATTCTCCATAAACCATATTACTTGGTGTTGACATACCAACATTCAAAAACTTTTTACAAGCGAGGAGATGAACCTTTTCAATTGTATAGAACTCTTTACAACCCCATATCTCAGACCCGTATAGTAAAATAGGTTGTATTTGAGAATCAAATAATTTAAAATACATTTTTGGTGAAATAACTCCGAGCTTAGACATAACAAAGTGGACTTGTAACAGAGCTTTCTTTGCTCTGTTTGTGAGATTAATTACTGACTTATTCAGATTCAGTGTATGGGTAAACAATATGCCAAGGTATTTGTATTCATGCACAACATTAATACATGTACCTTTAAAAAACCATTTCTCTCTTGTGGCCACTCGACCACCTCTACGAAATAAAACAATATTTGTTTTATCAAGATTAACACTTAGTTTCCATTTATCTGAATATTCCGAAAGTATGTTAAGCTGCTTCTGTAGACCAATAATAGTACTAGACATCAAAATCACATCATCTGCAAAAAGTAGCATGAAAAGTTCTATTATATCAGGGGAGAGCTGGACGCCATGTCTACCAGACTCTATGATATCAACATATAACTCATTTATAAAAAATGAGAAAAGTATAGGACTTAAAACACATTCTTGACGTAAACCTATCGGACAATCAAAAAAGTCACTCTTAATATCACCACAGCGAACACATGATTTTACATTTGCATACATTGATTTAATAATGACAAGCATTTTGCCTCCTAAACCCTTATTTTTCAAACACCTCCACAAATAAGCTCTATTTACAGAATCAAATGCCTTTTTAAAATCAACAAAGGCCACATACAACTTACGTTTCCTGTACGATAAATATTTCTCAATGACTGCATACAAAGTAAATATGTGGTCAAAAGTCGAATAGTCCTTTCTAAATCCCGCTTGTGTTTCAGGGATCAAATCTCTCATATTTGACCACTGTTTTAATCTATTATTGATGATAGATGTAAATGCTTTACTAAGGATACTCGTGAGAGATATACCCCGATAATTGTCAGGATTGTTTACGTTTCCATTCTTGAATAACGGAATAATAATAGATTTTGACCAGATAGAAGGAAAAATACCTGTATCAAAAATCCGATTGAAACATTTAACCAGAAAAGGCATAGTATCAGGTAGTGAGTACTTGAGCATTTCAGCTATAACACAATCAATCCCAGCAGATTTACCTGTTTTAAGGTGAGATATAGCATTAAATATTTCCGTTTCCGTGATAGGCGATTCCAACAGAAGCATGTCAACATCACTAAGAATTTCACTGACGCCATCATCATCACGTTCAAAGCACTCATTGTCTACCAAATATATCGAATCATCTTTTGAGAATAACTTCTTGAAATGATGTAACCATTCTGTTTGGGATATAGATCCTTTGGGGGTAGGATGTCTCTGAAGAGAACGTATAGTATTCCAAAATAATTTCGGACTGTGTAAAGTGCTGTTTAGTCGGACTAGCCGTGACAATTTAAGATCATATTTGAACTTTCTACAAAAGGTTTTATACACATTTCTCAGTTTACAGTAGCGTTGTCGGTTGTATTCACTGCGACAACACCTATATCTTCTGAGAGCCTTCCTGGATTCAGATCTTGCTGCCCTACATGCTATATTCAACTTTGGTTTATCGTGTTTATTTTCACCATATTTGATCTGTTTCCCCATACAGGACGCCGAGTCTAGAACATACTGTACCAAATATGTAATCCCCCCCCTCATATTAGCTTCAATTTTATCCATCATGGAATTTTCATGAATATGCAGGGACCTTCTAAGTGCCGTGATAAAAATGCTTTTCTTCGATTCGTTCCATGAAAATGTACTGTTCATAGAGACATCATCCTCACAGTCTAAACTATGTATGGCACGATTGCTACAAGGAACCCTGCAGGATAACTCAAGAGGGAAATGGTCTGAATCTGATCGATCACCAACATTTAACATATCTACATACTGGAAAAAATCAGCAGATGCAATAAAATAATCAACAACACTAGAACCAGTATCTCCTTCAAAAGTAAACTCGCCTGCACTATCACCATAAACTTTCCCATTTAGTATAAACATACGAAGTACAAAGCATAGATTCAATAAAATGCGTCCGAATCTATTGATAGTACCATCGTGCGATACACGTTGTTCAACAGGGGCATTGTCGACATCAATGTTTACATCATCATGTCCAAAGTCATCACTTTCCTCAGAAATGCCAGTTCATGCCAGGATCCGATATCAATCGTCGTGGGTGTTAATCCCCGATTCGCCAATCTTATGATGTTTGGTTTGTCAGCATCATATCCGTACGCTCGGGTTTAATTAAGGTGGAACACGATAACGATCTGCATCCCCCGGGTTTTACTGCCATATTATATTTCGTCGATTCGTTTGTCACTTATGCATAAATGAATCTGACAATCTCTGTATTGTTGATCACTTTTTCCATTGTAACATAGAGACAGCGTAGGAAATGCAAATACTGCGAGTTTGCATTTTAGAGTATTTATTTGTAATTCCCAATTGAAGAGTTGGGTTGAAAATGAGGAACATATATGTCCCTGTGGCTTCCAGGGGGCTAACACTCTAAAACCATAACGTTCAACCCAGACGTAGGTGAACATTTTACTTAAGCACCAGTAATTTATCAATGATTTACGATCAGGAAAGTAGTCCG